ACTAGGATTACTGCGTTATAAGATTGTGGGGAACACATATACCCTAGTTATTTCTCTTATCTTGATAACAACCAAAGTTGAGTTTAATTATTGATTACTTATTAAGTTCTTACTATTTGTTTCACACAAGCACAACCCCCCTTTTATTACCTGTTTCTGGAAATAATTTGACTAATTGAATATAATTGTTGGTTAAAAGTAAAGTCTGAACCATTTTCCTCGTGGGATCGATCCCAACCTACAAGTTGGGTTCTTTACTTGATAACGATCGCTTATGCTTCTGAAAGGAGGTGTAATTTGAGCGTATCACCTACGCAGACGTGCCCTCGACCTAATTGCTTCGAGTGCAACTTGCAGTCAAAGACTCGATGGTTCACGAGATTCTTCAATTCACACCAAGTATCACATTTTGCTACGTTCTTCATTGATGTGAGAGTCGAAATATCCATTGTCGAGAGTCGTTTATGTTTAAATAGCAGCACACATCCCCACGCACACTCCGTGAACGGGGCGCGAGGGGAGGGCTGTCAATTTTAGTATTCCTAGGCACTTTCCACGTCGGGGTTCGTTGGTCGCTCGACGAGCGAGCGGGCGCACACGCCGTGGACGGGAGGGAGGTGCACGACGAGCGCGCGTCTCCCTCTAGTGTTTAAAATGTGTTCGCGGGTCGTTCTTCTTTACAGGTTTTGACAATGATCTTTCTGAAGGTTCACCTACAGAAACCTTGTTACGACTTCTCCTTCCTCTAAATGATAAGGTTCAATAGACTTCTCGCGACATCGCAGGGAAGCGAACCACCGAGGTCGCCGCAATTCGAACATTTCACCGGATCATTCAATCGGTAGGAGCGACTGGCGGTGTGTACAAAGGGCAGGGACGTAGTCAACGCGAGCTAATGACTCGCACTTACTAGGAATTCCTCGTTGAAGACCAACAGTGTTGACCCTGTGTTGTCTGGCGAATGGGCGCAAGCTTCGGCCGACGCCTGGTATTAAAATGGACTTCACATATGTATTAAAATGGTATTTCCAACTCCAAATCCATTTTGTTTAACCAAATCTTTTTCACATACCTATTTAAGGAACAAAATCCTTATGCAAAATTGGGGGAAATTTAAAATTTTCGGGATAAAAGTTGTTTATCAGAAAATTGATTATCTAGCATTAAAATTGACATTCATATATGCATTATGAAAGTATTTCGAACTCAAAAATCAATTTTCTTTTATCAGATTCTTAGCAATAAAGAATTACAATTTTCTTCAAAATTGGGGGAAATTCAAAATTGAATGGGTTAAAAGACGTTTTCAAAAAATCGGCTTGGTCAAATGCAGTTTGGTCGCATAGATCTCGAAAAAATACCTTAGTTGAAAAAAAGAAAGTCTCCTGAAAAGGACATCCGAGGCCAAAGTTATGACCATTTGAAGTTTCACCAATTTACAACTACTTTTTCAAGTTTCAATCTCTAATTTGGTGAAACTTCAAACGATTGTAACTTTTGCCTCGGATATCCATTTGACGTAAAAAAAATTAATATGGGTATTTTCTTTAGATCTATTCGGTCAACTTCTTAACTTGTTTTGCTCTTTTATCTTATTATATTTTTATTCATATAGAATAATAGTCACACAAGGTATTTAGGTAATTTTTTGTTCTGATATTATATATAGTGTCACTATAGAAAAAACAGTGATTAGCGACAAATCATATTTCATGGGAGTTCGTGACAGACTATATAATGGTTCAAAGCGGCAAATGTAGGGTTTTTCAAGTTTAAACGAGTCCCAGAACGGGAAATATGGATAGTCCATGAATTTTGTGTGATATGTGTACCTGACTGTTTTTTGGCCAGAATATTTCATGGGCGTCCGTTATGACCAATTAAATGGTGAGTGTTGGTTCGGAGGGGCACACGTAGGTTTTTTCAAGTTCAAATCAGGCCCGGAAATTTTTCGTTGGCGTTAGTGACGACTTATTAAATGGTGTGTGTTGGTTTGGAAGGGCAAACATAGGTGTTTTAAGTTCAAACGAGGCCCAATCAGAAAATAGGGATATCATGACAACAAAGGGAAAAATCAAAAGAGAGAAGATACATATTGGTGTTGGAAAATAACACGATGAGTACATCAAACACAATAGAAACAAATTATTAATCAGTCAAAGAGAGAGAGTTATGGTATATTCTCAAATCCTTTCCTTGATAACCATGAACGAAAAAATCAAAGCAACAAGTCCAGCCATCGCGGATGGGAAAGAACTGGTGACGGCACTCCCGGGGTCCATCGGAGCCGCCATTGGTCCATGGTTGTGGCCTTCATGGGCAGCCACAGAAACCACCATGATCACAACAATAGCGATGATGAAATTGAAGACCTTGAATGCCATTATATTGCCTTCTTTTCAAGATAATTATCAAATGCTAACTTTTATTTATTTGAACAAATGACAATGAACATGTTTATATAGAAATATTGTTTAAAGGATGTGGACAATTCTATCGTACTACTATTCATTCCAATTTTGTACTTTGTACTATCATTATTCTTATTTGATTTCTTCCATTGACTTTACAAAGGCAAATTATTGATCATAATCTAAAAAGTCTACTGATTGTGATATTATTATGTTATATTTTTAAATTGAATAACTGTCATATTATTATATGTATAATTATTTATTTTTAAAAAAATATATGTGTGTGAATACGTTTAGTCAATTGACCTATATATGATAAAACTAATATAACATATAACATAAAAACTATTGAGAGAATAATTTTTCCTCAAACTAAAACTCTTTAATGATTATATTATGAACGTTATTGTGTCTGACAGAAAAATCTTTAATTTATAAAAGTCAAAAGAAAAAAAGAAATTGGGAGAAGGAAATTTTAATTTTATTAGTATAATTAATTTGTTTGAACTTTGAAGTTATGACACATATTATATATAGCTAAATATATTATCTAGGGGGGAAAAAGAATTTAGTGAGGTGCACGGAATGGAAGAAGTCCAAGTAAACCTTAGAACAATTATTAAAGTATGATTAGATAATATAGACTGTTTTTTAAATATTTGAAATTAATTTGAAACTTGAAAATAAATATATTTTAGGAATAAAATAAAAGATTTGTTTCAAATTTGCTGATTTCCCTATTCCATTCTACTGGCACATGTATTAAATAAACGGAAAAGGGTCATATTTGCAGAATCGTTTACGACATTTTGCATATTTGGTAGTAAAGCAGAAGTTATTCGACAATAACTATTTTATTTTCACATAAAATTATTCAACTTTTGATCACAGGTTCATGAAATTACAACGTTACAATGACACAACACACGTGCATGTACACCTCCCATGTCATAAAGTTAAATACAACATAGAAAAAAAAAGCATTAAAGTTAAATACAACAACATAGAAAGAAAAAAAAAAAAGCATTAAACATGGCAATCTCAAGTAAATCAAAAAACTGGCTTAAACCTTCTAGACAACAAAGAAGAAAAGAAGGAAATAAAGGATGGTGATGAGTGTGAATGGAGAAGAGTTAACATAAGCCAAATTAGTAGATGGAGAAGGGCCACCAGCCATGCCAGGCATATAGGGCATGTCAGTAGAGCTGCCGGGATCATCGCCATATTGGGCTACCACAGCAGCAATTAAAACTCCGAAACAGCCAACAAACATAGCACTTGACAAACTTAGAGCCATTGTATATAATCAAGTGCTGTAAAATTCTGCTTTTGCTTGAACGTTATGACAACTTAGCTATGTATTTATATTGTATACTGAAACAAGATGGAGAACCTAGACGATGTTTTCTTGTCGATGTTTGTTAAGAATTTTTAACTTATGTGTTGTATACAGCTAGCTAGGAAAAAAGATTGAACGGGGAATCCAATGTGAAATGTGAAAAAGAACCCTCTCATCAGTAAGATTTCAAAGCCAATGATTAATCCCATCCCTAATTACATTTTAAAAAGTTCTCAATTGCAATAAAATTAATCCATTAAACAATATTAGTATAATACGCGCAATACACTGGCTTCATAGGCATAATCCTTTAAGGTTGTTGGTATTGGCAAAAATAGAAAAACTTTACCCTGAGAGAATACCAATCTTAGAGGCTAGCACGTAGAAATCCTCGTCTGTACCATTGCTACATTTTTCAGCCATGGACTTTGAAGTCGTTTTCAAGTGCCCCTTTGTCATTTCTCAATCTCCTCCTGGATTTGACCATCTGCATTAACACATGAAGTTAGATAAAACATTGATGACGACACGAAATGAGTCTAGCTCTACAACTAAGTTTTAACCCTCACTAGCAAGTTCAACAGCAATGTTCGCCTGAGCATCTGCATCGGAGTTTGACTCCTACGAAAAGAGAGTTTGCAATGGGTTAAAACCTCAAAACCAGCAAAGGTAATTCCAAAAGAATAATGAGGCAGGTAATATGCTGTTTAGGGTTTTTATTTATATAGAAAGCATGTGACATATAGATGGACAACAATGTAAAATGAAAATTATGCAGACCAAGAGCAAATAATAGAGATGATTAACAGAATTACCCGAAGGACATGAATGATCCGGAAAGAAAGAAATCTATCTTTCAGTTGTTTTGCCTGCTCATACAATGTGGAGATGTTTTGATTTTTAACCTTCCATAGGCCCTGGATCTATTTGACAAACGACACTTAATAAATTCAAATATCAAAGGGATTAATAAAAGAGAGAATGAGACTAAGAAATCATACTGCTTAGAATAAACAAGTAATTAGGACAACTAAATTGTAAAGTAATAATCACAACTGCTTTGAAGTAACTAACCATGCAAAAACAATATAGCATCAGATCAACTTTATGAAGTGCAGTATGGCATATCAAGGGAAAGATGACAAGCTCATCCTACATTTCACAGGGACCATACAAAGATGAATCATGAATACATGCTCATTTATTCCCTAGCAAGAGAATTCTTCGTTATGTAAGAAACCTTTTGGCCAACTTCTTCCCTATTTGCCTTCTCTTTATCTTTTACCATTCATGAGAATTTTTCCTATATGTAAGAGAACATATCGTCCACTTCTTTTTCTTTTGCCTTCTCTTTACCTTTTCTTGTAGCAGGAGCCTCTCTCTTCTAGGTTTCTCCGACTTCTCCATGTACATCATTCTTCGATTGGCTTTGTCACTAAAAGGATGCAGTAATTAACTAAAATACTTGTTAAGATTTCCTCATTGCTTCAAAATGCTCTGAACAGGATTGTCTACAACTAGTTAACAGACCTAAAATTAAATGGGGGACCTGATTATCATCAATTTAAGAGACTCCGTCATTTCTTTCTCCTACACTGTTATTTGTTTGATTGCAAGGTCCTAGTATTACTTATGCCAGAGGCAAGAAGAAGTGCTCTTTCATAGAACAAAACAATTAAGCAGAAATGACCAGAAGGGCATAATATTGTTGACTACCTCAACGAGTAATGGACAAGCGATAAAAAAAATGTCAAGAGCGGCCTGTATAAATGCTATCTGCTAGACCTTTATAATGCAACAGGGATTCCATGCATCCTTATGAACCCCCTCCCCCAAAAAAAGGTGCAATTATATGATGAAAAGAGTAACTTAGCTTAAGCATAATATCATGTTAAGAGATGGAAATTGAGAAGTTTCATAGTATGTCAAAGGACAAGAGTCCGCTCAAGCACACAAAAGAAGAGATAAGACTCTAAATACATAGATCTGAAAAACTAACCTGCATACAAACAAGTTTGGAGTCCCCCTGAACCCGAATACTTGTAAACCCTTTGCTAAGTGCATAGTTCAACCCCAAAATAATGGCTCGATATTCTGCAGCATTGTTTGTTGCTACTCCTAAACCTTCACGTAGCCTACAGATCTTTTATTTGGAAGGCTGTAAATTATAAGTTTGAAGAATAAGGAAAAAAACAAAACAAATCCCAAAGTTCATGACTATTACAAAACTGCCATCATCAGCCCGCAGGACAGCTCCTGCACCAGCTAGTCCAGGATTTCCTTTTGAAGCACCATCAAATTCAAGAGTACAAGACTGCTGCTGACAATAACAATGATAAGGTTCTTCACACACGATACCATAAACCATCTAATATTTCATAAAAGCTCAGAGTTCACTTGTAAATTAAGATTTTTGCATTTGTTAGCCCATGAAGTATAAATGACATCCTCCCTTGCTACTTTTTAAAAAAATTAAGCAGTTTGCTTTTTTAAATTATTTACAAAAATGCATTTATGTTTTACAATTATCCATCGTTTAACACTCACACCAGATGGCAGAGCTTGGTCGCCCTTATGATCATCTAACTTGACATGCTTTCTTAGGGAATCATCATTCGAAATTACAGCTGATCCAGCAGCATCCTGCAAACGAAAGATGGCCAAAAAGAAGAAGTTTCCAGAACAGTGTCAAGCCAAACACATTATGCAAGGAAGAGAATACAACAAATCATTATTGTACTACTTTAAGCCAAACATATACAGAAACCACCTTTCGACAACGTGGATAGAAGTACACAGTTCACTTTGACAGGGGTTTGCAAATAAACATCAATTAACAATTGCAACTCTATGTGCTTCATGTACAAAAAGATACTGCAATTCATCCGATTAAAATCCAACCAACCCCAAAATGTTTGCTTTTAACCGATAGGTGGTTTAGTTCTTGTTCGAACTTCGATGCTTAATGCAGAATTTGCAAAATACTAAGCGTTCCTATTGATGGATGGGAAGTACATACAAATCTTTTAGCTAAATCCCTGATCCTCAAATCTTTTGGCCTTTTTGTTAGTTTTGTTCGGTGCTGTATCTGTAGACTGTAGATATGATATACCATGCCTTCTTTAGGGTGCTGACGAATGTAACATGTTACCAATTTCAATAAAAAAAAAGGCAGAGCTATTTATGAGAGAAAAAATGTCTTTCCAGTTGAATTAGTGAATATTCTTCTGTACTTCTAAACCATTACTTATGGCATCTTAAAGAACATTCGCAAGGAAACTCCTAACATTAAGAGCATGCTTCAGTTGCATACAGAATGTGTACACCGATTTTCTTAGGAGCCAAACAACTTTAGGAAAATAAAGTAATTAAACTCTAGGTGTAGAGTAAGAAGTGAAGAAATCACAGATGCAACTGCTACAAACCCTGATACAGTTTACGCAAATTAACCTAATATGGCCCAAACATACCGTATATTCTGACCACATTACATCCTGTGACCTCTTCTTTGTCATATGTTCAGGAATTCCACCTTTTGAAGAAGAAGGTTGCTGCAAGAAATGAAATGCTAATGAATTGGTATGACCAGTCAAAAAAAGAAGAAGAGGAAAATGTGTCATTTTCTGGCAATTGCACCCTTTACGATCACAAGCAGCTCACCTGACTGACCAGCATGTGCATATTATTCCCAAAGAGTGACGAGAGAAACGTACACATAGAAAGAAGATAAGAGAATATTAAATAAAGGATTGGAGAAAGTTAAGGATCTTTGCTGCCAATGTTCATTGAATTACCACATGAAACAGGAATGTCACATCATATAGGAAATTAACCTGAGGAGAGTACAAACCTACAATTAATGCATCAAGTGCATGCAGAGATGATCTCTTAATGTAGATAATATTAACATAGAAGAAAAAGAAAATAAATCTGTACACCAAACATAACGTAATGCAATGAAACTCTCAGCTTTTTTTTTCCTTTTTGGGAGTAATATTTGTTGATAAAGTAGGTTGCCGTATAAAATTTGGAAAGTTTCAGTTTAATTGGGGGATGCAGTGCTAATTCATCCCTGCCATAGCTTATAAAGGTAAAAGTAGAGTGTTTTAGACTGCAGTATATAATGTGGAATCTATCACTTTAGTTTGAGATGTTGTACTAGGTCATCCCTTCTATAGCATACAGGCAAAGGTAGTTTCCAGTAGCTCTTCACTATTCTTATTCCTAACTCTTTGGACACAAGATACAAAATCAGCTACTCGTGTCAAGGTCCTTTTTCCAGATCTCAATTTTAATAAATACACGAGAGTTCCGAGGTTTCTTCAGCTAACTGTTTTTTCCTTTATTCCTTCGGGTGGCCCAGTGGTTTGGGATTGGGACTTCCATGTTGGAGGTCTCAAGTTCGAAACCCCTTGCCAGCGAAAGCAAGGGGTTTGCCTTCTGGGTCGAGCTCGTCGCACCGGGCTTGCCTAGTGCGGGTTACCTCTCCTATGTGGTTTGCGAGCTATTGCATAGGAGCGGGGGTTTTACCCTGTGCGCACCCAAAGGGTAGCGGCTGCGGGTTTCCCTTGTCATCAAAAAAA